AGTTCATAAAGCAGTAGAGGAACGTTAGGAGATGCGTTCCCATGTTATGCGGTGGTTAGAAATAGGTTCACACTTCATTTGTCCCCTCAGGATCCTGGAGCCCGTGTGCACCATTGGTTTGGAATCAGAGTTTTTGACCTCCCCCAGATGGATCCACTATACCCACCCATCCGGTTTACGTTTAGGACATTCACTTGCATCTTCTTAGTTCGCAGCAAATTATATTGTCATACCTTTGGATCAAGTATGAGGTTTTAGTTCCAGGTCATTGCTATCTTAGACTTGTTTAGCACTCCAGTATATTCATTCCTAAACCACCACGTAGGGGTCAACTGGTTTCGAAATTCGGCTTAATTGAGAATCTCATTATATATAACTTCGGTATACTTTGTCATAAACGGACTTTATCATGTATAATTGTAGCAAATACGAATTAACATACAATAATCAACTTAATAATATTAAATTCAGAGCATATTTTAGGTTATGTAGGATTTCATACTCAGGATGATCGCGTACGCCCAGGTGTTTATTGTTCGGCTTGCAATAATAATTTCTCTGACCCTGTGCATTCTGAACTTTTGGTTCTTCAACTTGCTTATTCACGTAATATCTAGAGTCACTAATCTTTCAAACAGTACTTGACCAATATTCAACAGAACATCGTTGATGGAGATGACCATTATCAGAATATCACCGTATACATTTAAGCATGTTTGTCCTACGGTCTGTTTTGTGTATTATTCTATTCAAGTTGAGTATTAGAAGACGTAGTCATTAGTATGAAGACAAACCTTATAGAACTTATTAACAAATCGACGTGTGTTAAAATCCTGGTATAATGATTCAACTTGCTCCACACTGATAGAATCTGTCAACGGAGTGGAATTTTACCATTATTGAAAGGTCAGTTGAATAAAAGTTACCACTACTGTAGGATAAATAATGCTATATCCAGAGTTCAGGAGTAAAACGATATCACTGGTCGTGCTGGTAGTTGATGTAAGGTGTTCAACTAGGGTGTGCTGCAGTAGCATTCCCATTCTATGAAGTCAGTGGAAATAGATTTGCACCGGAATATTCACATTTTGTTTTATCCCCAATGGGTTGTTGTTAGCAATGAGTACGGGTACATATATTATTTCGGTCACTTCAGGATATCAGCCTACGTTGCAGGAGTCCATTGGAGTTATCATTCGTCTGCAGCTCCAACAATAATGTACACCCTTTCAAAATACTTCATTTAATTTCATCATTTTCGCTATTGTTAACATCGTGATCCTATGTTCATTAAATTCTAGTCTTTAACTATTAATAACTACTTGGTTTACTAAATGATATAATCTGGGATGATACTGCAAATTGGTCCTTTCTGTATCGAACAGGATAACATATCGGTAGTTAGGTGTTAAAGTACTTAACCCAATTTACAGTCAATGTAACGAATAGCAAAGAGGTTTCACATCAGCTGACATCGATTGCTATTGACTTTAGCGGATCTACATCTGTATCTACCTTCGACATTATCTTGGATTATACCAAGAGAAACTGTTACGCTTTTTAATCAGTCATAACCTATAGGTTTATTTATTTATTTATTTTAACACATAAGTATAGGTACAGGGAGGCACCAAATACATATGCGCCACACGAATCTCAATTGATTTGTGTGAGGGCTGTGATACTGCCCGGGTGCCCAAACCGAAGCAGGTGGTTTTCTTAGGGGACCACACCCCGAGCCTTTGACCTGAACGTCTGACCCACAAGGCAGTGGAGCATCGTGAGGAGATGCAGTCCCATGGAAGCCGGTGACCAACGACTGGTTCATACGCCATTTGTTCCTTCAGGATACTGGAGCCCATGTGCACCATTGGTTTGGGATCCGGTTAAAGCGGCGGAAATTCGCTTTTCGTCCTCTCATTTTTGTAAACAACACCCCTGCCACGAGAAGGCAGTGAGTAGGACTTCCCTGGCAGAGGCTATATACGCATGGCCATGTGAGAGCATTTCGAGAGGGAGAGCGGACTCTCCCCACTCTCGGCCGTACCAGGGCATTTGGGGGCTAAGTTTGGGCTCGTCCGAGATTCGAACCCGGGACCACTCGCACCGTAAGCGAGTATCATACACCTATAGGTAATAGAGATCAATCCGTGAGAAGTTTTTAAGTACATACCTTTGACGAAATTCGTGTGAAATAGAGAGATCTTTCCCTGAAGAACACGTATTTAACTTAAATTACAAAAACAATAAGATTTGAATTATTTTTGACAACCTGTCGAGGTTCATGATGTTTTTTGCACCTATAAAATTCAATTTGACGCATTAAGACTTAAGATTGAGTAGTCTCATTGATTTGTTAGATATTTACGAAAGCTCTCATAGGCGTTAAAATATCAGCGTAATTTTAAGATCTACTATCATTGTTTTGCTTTCTCTATCTCATGAATCTGAATCTATCCTAAAAATCTGACATATTGCATGGAAGGCAGTCTTGTGTCGCTTTACGTCCTCGGGAAACAATCGTAGAATGTAAACGACTCAAGACAACTTATAATAAATTACAAGTATCAATCAATGAGTCCACCGAATGATTGGTGGTTAAATTATGAATAATTAGATACGGCTGTGAATCTGTAATGATCGACATAACCGAGCCATATCATTTATGTTGGGATACTATCCACTCTGATTTGGTCAGTATAGTCGCATATCAAATGGGGCTGCTGAAAAGAGTAACTGTTGCGCCCTCAGGCGATAATTAACAAACTTTGATAGACGAATTAATTCCAGAGATTCACTACTACCTCAGCATTACTGTCACTCAGTTAGTCATAATCGCCTTAGGGCTTGGCAAAAGCTTGAATTATCACAAGCTACTGCTAGATTAACAAGATGAGTAGCAAAGGAATTGAGTTAATGTTTTAGCGATGTTAATAAGTTAACGAACATTGAGAATATGGTACGAAAAGACAGTTTTGATTAATAGGTGTACAATGGTATTCACAGATATTTTTGCTGTTCTAAAAAAAATTAAGTAATCAGTCCTAGTAAAATGCCCGTTCAATCGTATGTAAAGTTTTTTTGAAATGTCATTATATTACCAAGTACACATATTTTGCTAAACCACACTTCATAAGGTTAAGTGGTGCTACCCAGCTGTCTACATTGAAGTAAGCTGTACATAGTGTGAACCTGTAATTCACTGATCCAAAGTCAAGTGTATGCAGTTATGATCTGGATGTAAGATAAGTAAAGGTAAGTTTCTGGTAAGTTGGGCGACGATATTATCGGGCGTTCACAATTGACATGTCACTAGTAAACAAAATAGTTTATACTAGGTAGATGGTCCATGTTTGAATCTCGTCTCATCTATTTTATTCCGACTAGGTGCGTATTGTTGCTGGCTGAAAGTCGAGTGCTCAAACATCCTTTGTAAATAATTTATGCTATTTTATTTAGAGACAGTGCTAGTACCTCTCTTTTTAAGTACAAGTGAGCTATTTAATCCAGCAAGTACTTAATTTTAAGTGTAGCGTGTTGTTTTTTGATTTGTTTCTATTTCGGTAATACACTACAAAATAAGGACTTAGATATGAAATAATTTCGGGTTCAATCGGGTCGTTGCACGAACATTTTTGTGGTGGTGTCTCTGGTCGTCAAAATAAGTGACTTGCGTTGTAATTTCTCTAGTTAAATCATTACTAAAAAACCTGCAATTACACTCTTTTGATAAGTGCCAACAAACACGAAACTTAAGGTTATTACCCTCTCTTTGGTATCATAATATCAGGTAATTGATCTTAATGGTCAAACCGCAATTGCAACCGATCGATTTCTAATACTACTAAAGGGCATAATTCCCGACATTATCTGCTATTTGGTGACAAGTTTGTATATTAAGCACCTTTACGGATAGAATACTTTGTTCTTAAATGAGGATCACTAATAATTGGTCATTTTTGCTAACATATTTACTTAGACGAAACTTACATTTTTCGATAAATAGCTTGCAAATCCCATCCAAATTTACTGATTCCAAGGCATTCAGATCCTGTAAAGTTTTTAAAAGAATTGTAATATTCTTATTTAATCCTTAGTTATAATTATTTCTTGTGATAGTTACTTTTTTAGTTCCTAAAAATGTAAATACCACTTAGCACTCATTGTGTATATAGAACGTAATTCCTCTGATTTTACGATATTATTATATTAATGAAATTCTAATTCTGATGAGTTTAAAAGAAGGGAGCTGCCTTATAATGAATGAAGAAACCCGATTTATGTATTTTTATTTCACTTCTCCAACAAAAGCTGGGTTGAATTCTTTAGGACTTTTGCTCATGATTTGATCACGTAAAGGATTTTGTGAAGGTTATCAACTAAATCATAAGTGATAAACACAATATGTAAATTAGTTGTAAGCTTTGGATTCCGGAGTCCAATACATTTGTAGCCGTCATTATTTTTGTAACCAGCTGCTGTATATTTAAAAAACACAGAACTTAAATTTTGAGACTACTGAAGTGCAAACTACAGTTCATGATTCTTCAATATATAACGCATATGTGTATGCATGTACTAAGTGCTTTTTGCTTTTGTTATACCTTAGATTTGCTAGAAATATTCAGTAATGAAGTGGTATTCCTGATATTCTGAATATTTTTTTCTAAAATGTCATTGTATTTTCCATCGTTATTTTCAAGTTTCAGTCGACACTTCTATACGTGTTTCTAACCAATGGAAGGCAAGTGGATAGGTAGTGTCGTTAACATATTAATGCAAGTTAAATGACTGAACAAGATAACCATGTTATATAAAATTTATTTTTATGACTTGATAGTTGTGCGTAAAGATTTGAGATTCTCGAGCTTATCATTATTTTGTTTTTATGTAAGTTGATATGACCCAGTCTTCTATTTCCAATTTAATGAACAAATTTTACAAAAGCTTAAAGTCGAATTTCTACTAACGTGTCTGTGTGTTGTTAAAACGTGTTTGAGATGCTTGTGGTGATTTATCTCATTCCATGGTTTTCAGATAATGTTTTGTATCCAAAAGGACCAGGATTAGGTGCAGCTCAGATTTTAAACAGTATAAAATCGACTTTACATTTCGGTACTTTGTCATCGATCGATTCATGGGAATCGAATGCCTATTTACTGTTTATGCCATTAGTTTCTGATAGTCGTCCAGAATTCCGTGGAAACATACTTCGAGATTGTATGCTACATTTACCCATCCCTTTAAAAATGTCGTCTACAGTGGCAGTTGGTCTTGATGGTGTAGAAAGTCAACGGAAGACTGACGAGCTTTTGGGAAGACTGAATAATGAAACTGAGAGTTATCATACAATAAAGCGTCCTTTCAAACCATTATTGTATACGGACTCAAGGTTTGTTAATTTTTCTTATTCTCTTTCGTATTTTAAAACTCAATAACTCAGTGAATAAAGTCAATAGATTTATTGTCTATAGTTTCGTAAACTATAAATTATATTACTGTATGATGTGTACTTATTACCATCAAAGTATAAGTTACTACTTAAAGATTGACTGGAATTTACAGTTACAATTAATTTTTATGGTGAACTTTTAGAAGTAGTCAAGGCACTGGTTAATAAGTGTACTTAAGTGGGTAATAGTAATGATGTGGCAGATGAGATCATTCTATGTACAGCGAAACCTTTAACTGCCTATTGTAAGTCTGAATCGATTTTCTCATGATCGTGACGTTGATTTGTTGATAAAAGGGTCGAGTGCACAACAGTTCCTTAATAACATTTCTTCTGCTTACTAGTATGAAATCGACTCTCAAAAATGCGAGTGTTTAATAATCATTACTTTCATTTAGTCACAGCACTGTTCAGGTAATGCCGAGAGGCAGCTATCTGTTTATGGATAATTTATATCACTCAAAAAGTGGTGGCAACTTGGGAAAGTGGTCTCACCGGTTTGGACATGTTTTGCTCTTGCATGCTGATGACTAGTTAGTGATGTTGAGGTGAAGTCAGATCAATCATAACCAACGTAGAACCTCTCATAATGGAGCATCGACATTGGAGCTGAAGGTTAAAGGCAGAGTTAGTTAGCTTATAAAATGAACTTTTAAATTGAAAGAAAATAGTTACATCAAGTTAGCATCTGTTGAATTATCATGATTCCTTCAATGGGGCTGTTAATGATCGTTCGTTTCAGTGCCTATAGACGTTATCAAAATGTTCAAGACTGAAATCAGTGGATACCCTGGTTGTGACTTGTTTTTTAATTTTGTGTAAATATGATTCAAACAATGCATACAGTCTGTAACCAGAAAAATAGTTGATTAGTCTAATTAAATTAGTGGATGATGAATCAAGAATGTCATTTTGCACAAGATAAAGTTTTATGTCTTCTCATTGACACCAACCTCTAAGCATCTGAGATTGAGGAGAGTACACTGTGTAATAGCTGTATCGTAACATTGATAAATAGAATCTCGACTAGTGTATACCAAACACTGTCATTAATTAAATAAATAATGTGACAAAGAGGGAATATTTTTGATAGTTATTAAGTAACGTTTTATCACTCCATTAAATTTATTTTATTCTTTGATAACCATTTTGTATATTTTAATAGTATATTAGTTCGTGTAGGTATTTTAAGAGTTTTAATAGAATTCGTTAAACTGTCAATTGTTTATTGGCTGTAAACATTAAGTACTTTGTTATTGATTTTATCTTAACTAATTTACTCCTTATCGTTTGTAACAACTAAATTAAATTTATTTAAATTTGTATATTTTTGCCGAAAAAAATTCTCATCTCGTTTGCGTTAAATTATCAATGAAATATTTTCGAACGTGTAACTAACAGAAACTAATCAATAAAGAAATAAATACATGTTTTGTACAGTTCACGTGCAGTTCTCGTTAATTATTAAAATGATTCAATTCAATATTTTTGTGATATTGTTATATGATCAAATGAAGGTGTGAGAAAAAGCTTAATCAGCTTAACTTCTTGATCTGTTTTATATTCATTTATAACGTCTCTAATGAATTGTAATGTTATCAACTACATTTATAATTAATTACATAGGCGTGTAGGGTAGCTTGTCACCTAAATAATTTCAATACTTTTCAATTTACTGAAACAGACAAATCAATATATCTTAGAAATCCGTCTAAAAACACCATATAAGGTATGTCAGTCAACTATAGCAAAGTTCCCAAATCTTGAAGTTTTCCATAATGATATCGAATAAGTGTGCATGTATGCCACTGCAACAGGCTTAAAATATGTTATTTAATTCACTAATTTTTTAAAAGTCATGATTGATAAAAATCAACAGTTCAATAAGCTATTCATACTGAAAACTTTTCACCTACTTTATTACATATTAGTTTGTTCGAAAAATTATATCTGAAGTTATTTTCTTGGAGCTTTCAGAATGTTATACACCTATGTTGGAAGTATCAGAAGGGGATAGTATTGAATTAAGGAGTCAAATGAATCAACAAGGCGCTTGACTACCTATCGATTGCCACAACATACATAATAGTTGGATCAGGATTAATATATTACACCGATCCCAAGTCGAAATAGAAAGCCTAGCATCAAATAACAAATTTGTATAAGCTATCTAGGCGACTAGGTATTATTGTCAATATCACTGAGATAATAAAAGTCGGTATCGGATGTTGAATATATCATTGTCGGTTGTCCAATGCACACTTAGTGTTTTTTCTCTAAAATTAATTAATTAAGAATTCATATTGACTATCTGCTTCCTTATACTTTCTGAAGACTGTTACAAGTTGAGTCAACGTATGATTGTCTATAGATTTGTATGAGGTTTGAGCTAGTTCGTGTCAGAATCATATTATAAATATCATACTTTGTGAAGGTCAGTTAGTTAACTATATAACTGATACAATATCTTGCTTTTATTGTTAATTAGTCACTGATTGGCATTTAATATAATGTTTCTGACTGATATGTATTTTTATGTGATTTGTGAAACACCTATTCAATATGTGCATTCATCCTATTTTGGAGATGTACGTTTCTTCTGTTGGGGTGTAGTTAATTTAACGTATGATCATATAATATTTAATCGAGTTGTCACACTGGTTCAGTAATTCTCTTTGACTATCACAATAGATAATCATTACTCTATAAACATAATGTCCTTATTCTCTATATCACTACAATTATTTTGAAATGTTATCACCTATTTTATAACCTATATTACATTTATCATTATTTTACTCTAGTCTTTATTGTACTTCAATGCCGTTCACTGATGCAATGGAACTTGGTAGTCCAGGTGATGGACTTATTATACGCCCATCTAAACTCGGTTTATTCATTTTACATGTAAGTGGAAATTATCCTCCAACATATAGTCTAAATTCATTGGAACGTTGTCTAGAAACTTTTGATTTGTAAAACAGTTTTATTCAAATGATAATGTTTAATTACATATTTGTTTTTGTTTGATTTATAGACTTCTTTAAAACTAATTATCATGTGACGTAGGTATAGATTTTACGAACAATCGATGGAACATCTATGCCTCTTGTCAAATAATTTACCAAAATTCTGTCGATATGTTAGGAGACTATTGTTTGTAGATTGTAAAATGGATACATCGTATTAAAACATTAGCAATTTGTAATTGAACTGTTTTAAAATGAAAATATGTCTAAGTTGACAAATACTTTGTAGTTCGACTAATCACACTTTGTAACCGAAAGATTTACCGGAAAAAGTGTTAGGATATTAAAACAAACAAGATGGGTTGTTGAATCGAAAAGGAGAACGAAATATTTTAAGACTTGGAGGAACAGTATAGTAAATATAGATTTATGTAACTAAATTTGATTTAGAAAACCACATCACCTCATTTCTTTAAGCACTGATTTCTATCATTACGAAGACAATAGATTTACATCATTTGTGTATTGTAAATCAACCAATCCGATAAGAGATCAATCCTAAAAAGTTTTTGTCAACTCTGGCTGTACGAAGGTTGGACAGAATTGAAACTTTCAAGATGTTACTAATCGTTACTTCAGATATAGGTGTCATGCAATGTAATGGAAGTACTGAAGTTCTTATGGAATACTTTAAAATACTTGGTATGAATGACGGCGACTAAGTTTGATTCTTATGACCAACGAAATACGAGATTTTAGATTTGTCGTAATCGGTCGAGGGATTGATGTTAGTATCATTTAGCTCCTAGTTAACTACATATTAGTTCGGGAGTTTCGACCTAATTTTTTCAGTTATTTTCAGATAGCGATCTTAACTGTCGTTGATTTTATCGAATCACTGTGTTTAAAAGCCTTGAACAATAGGTATTCATAACATCACACCAGTGTCTTTTGCAACCTATTCAACTTTGCTATTCTCCACTGCTCTCGTTCGTTTTGCAAACTAATGAGAATGGAGACAGTTACCTTAACCACTGTCCCCACCTCATACTGAATATTTAACCTGTCTGTTTGTGCAAGGTTCATCACCTCTCTAGCTAACGACTTTTTGAATACAGACGAATCTTTTATCTTTCCATCGACAATAAAAGTTAGTCCAGTTTCATCTTTCAGTTTTCGCCCAAAGGGGATAATTTTTCTGTGAAAGTAGCTACTTTTAATCTCGCTACTTGTCAACCTACTTTACTAATTTGTTAAAACTTCAAATAATAAGTCATTCCATCAATAAAAACAATTGGGTTGCTGAGATTGACAGGTCTGATCACCATTTTAAGACAGTGGCTATCAGAATTCAACTCGATAGTTACGTAAGATCAGCAGTATTTGTATGCATAATCCTGGGTGTGGAATAGGTGCTCAGTTGAATAGCTAACAGACTAGAATCCAACTGAATAGTTATAATTAGGAGAGTAAGTACATTCTACATCCACCTACTTAATGTAACCATATGAAAATTTATGTACCAAGTTATCAGTTAACGATACTACTCATCTCTACTGGTATAGAGGTAAATATTCATTAAAGTTTTTGATGGAGTCTACTTTTACCCGAAGTTTGTGCTGATAATGTCGTTCAGAAAAACGATGAAGCTCCACGACCAAACCATCCAGCTCAGAGAACAAAACTCCATCAAAATCATCCACCTGAAGTATCTGAAAACTATCCTCAAATTGTTTGGGTGTATATAGCAGCTCCTAAACATGAGTTGTAAAATTTCAGAATTGTAGGAAACCAGTATTTAAGATCTAACTGTCTTTAGGTCATTTAACTAATTTCAAAACAAAGTAAGTCGATATTAATAAACCGACTGCTGTTTTGTAAATAATATTGTTTTTAATTTTATCGTACTAATGGCGAGACTATAATTTATGGACGAACCAATCAGATTTACGATAACAGGTCTTGAATTTTGGCGCAAAATTCACTCATCCATTTGGTTAAATAGAGTTTTGGCATTATAGCTGTTCGTGATGAAAATCGTATATCTAATTCCTAACCTTAACTGTCAACTGTAAATACTAATCCTAATTCCTCATGCTGGTTCATAACCCTCATTTAGCCGTAGTATGTAGGTGGACATTCTGAAGGTCTCTGTAGCGTCGCTGAAAGGTCGTCCATAAGTTATAGTCTCATTGTACTATTCATGTTAAACATTAGCTATCTGTTAGTACAAATTGTTAATTGCCTGAAATAAATCAACGTAAATTAATTAATAAACCTTATGATTCTATGTATAGAACATCTACTCAAAAAATTATAACAAACTATATTACGTAGAAGATTAGTAGTTCATTTCATATGAAATATTTTTGAAAATATTCTCATGACATTGTGTTTTGTTTTGACTGATAAATGACAGTTTAAGTACTTATATTACGATACATAATTTATTACCTTGATGGACTTCTCTTAAAAAATTAATTACCTAAAATTAACTTCACTATCGCTAATAATCGCTGTCTTATGAAGTATGATTTAATTAGTGGGCGCATCTTAAGTTTAATAATTCACAGGCTTACAATTGATTTATCACTGAGTTGCGACTAATGTCATGTTTATCTAGTTCTTTACTGTTGGTCGAATTCTATCGATCAAATTAAGATATGGCTACTAGTTTGTGTGACCGAACACCTCATGCATTATATTGAAGTGTTAAATTGTCCGAAGTAGTTTAGAGGAAAGTATGGACTTAAGTTTCGTGTTACCTGGCACTTGTCAGCAAGCAATCTTTGCAAACGTGATGGGATTGAGGTTTCTTATGTCCAGTGTTTCCTGCTAACTATCTACAATTACTTGACAATTCAGGGGCTGGTAGGTTTAATCCATTTGAGATTTAGAGTTTTCTAAACCTCTATCTATTAAGCAGAGATTTTCATAATGATCTCATCAATAGTTCATTATTTGTTATCGTTGCGTGTTTCTAATCTATTTGAGTAAAAATAAAAGACGTTGATCTCTGGTTTTACAATGAAATTATGTGTAAGATGATTTTAGTTAATATTGGTAAGTTTAGTTAGTAAGAAGTTAAAATCACAACTGGAACATTATCTTAAAATTATCATTATCATAGTTATTGATAAACTTTCTTCTCTTTATTATTGAATACCACCGTTATTCTTATTAGCGTAAGTACGTGTTTATTTATATACATACACAAGCAGTCATTCAGTGGCTTAACTTTAATCATTCACTAAAATGTGATCATATGACGTGAATTTTATGCAGTAAATATCCATACATATATAGTTAAATAAGTATTCACAATGCGATGATGATGGCAATAGTTAATTACACTATTGATAGTTTTGCGAAAATATTGATCAGTAAGTACAGAATGGAGTGATGAATACATCGAATAACAAGAAATTGATAAAATCAAGAATAACAACCACAACAGTTGAAACAGAATAAATTACGCATAAATTAAGTTGATAAATTTTGTAAATCTTCCACTTTTGTGTTTAAGTCCATTTTAAATATGTATACTTGAGTCTAGTTTATAGGTGAAGTTCATGTTCTTCATATACATACTTATTGTTTTGCGCAAAATTTATATCATTCGAAGGTCAGTTTAATCAAGAATTTATGATTGATAAAGAACCATTGAGAAGTAGAGAGCACTGAGCCTCAATTTCTGTCCTCAGTTTCGGACATATCAGTAGCTTTTAAGGCGGGAAAATATCATCTAGACTACTGAGTTCACACCCAATTTACCGGATGTTCAACTTCAATGGGGTTGTGATATAGCTCAGGTCATAGTGTACTGTATGCTACTTATGCTGACAGATACAGTTGGAAGTGAAATGCCTGTAAGCGGAAGATTGTAATAAAGAGAACAGGAAGGAAATCGGGAGAGCAATCAAAATAACAACAGAATTAAAGGAATAATGGGGTATATAAATTACAACGTAAATAAGTTGCGGAAATAATGAATTTGATGTGTGATTTTTATATTTTAATAAGCCACTGTGATTTTGCATTAAACAATAAGTTGGCTTTCTCCACTGGATCTTCGTTCACTATAACAACTTCCAAATTCAACATCAAGGGTGCAGACTTAATGGTTATTATTTGGGCTTCAGCTAGCTGGTCTGAGATTCTAAACTCGCTCTATCGACTTCATTTTAAGTAATCAAATAGTATCACGAACCTCATACAAACAGTATAATTCAAAGCCATGCTCATAAACTTACTCAGTAAATTAGTTGGTTTAAATAATATTAAATTTATTCAGAAGCTGTATCTGGTGTTCACATTATAATATTGTTGATCTAGTTTTTGTGTGATGATTTGATATAGTCTGAAGGTGAGTTTTAACACAAATACACTGTATGAAGATACCGCGAAAATTTATTAAAGTCGAAAATATAATTTGTTTTGAATCTGATTGTTTAGTTTGAAAGTACCCTGGTTACTTTGAAATTTAAAAGTTATAGGTTTCAATCTGCCCTAGTTCTGGGTACGCAATTTTAAACAGTCACAATATTTGGGATGAGACTAACTATTACCTAGAGCTTCGTAATTTTCAGCATCTCTTCAAATGATATCGATTTCTTATGCCAATTAAATTTGTAGAGACACAAAACCAATTTTAGTTTGGGTAGTATATGCTATTCCTTTTAAAAGTGGCAAGATAGTTGTAATGAAATAAACTTTATTTACATACAGTATTTCGCCAGTAAGTGGAAGCACTAATTTAAATTCATTTTTTTATTACAATACTAAAAGTTTCATAACATGTAGATTTAAAGAAAACTACTGACGAAATAATGTATATTCATTGCTTATGAATGTCAGAATGACAAATACACATCATTAACATGGAGCCTGGCACCAATGTACGTTGGACCCAGGTTGTCATAATAGAATAGTGCGACGAGCTGAAAACAACAGAGTAGATCGAGATAGTGTATTGGCAATAATAATAAATATAAAACCTTGGTATTTGGTTTCAAAAGACAGGGTGGAGGTTTATGTATGAAGAGATACTGGAATTCAAGATCAGGAGGAAGATAAATATAGTAATTCATCTACAACATCGTGAACGATTCTGAGTCATTTCACTAAAAGGTTTCAACTACAAATCACGGTTATTGCGGTAATCTCAACCAGGTAGTCTGGATCTATCAACATGGATGAGATCAACAGTCAGTGACGTCATAGACTGATGGAACATTTTAGCTTGAACTCTCCTAAGTTTCTTTCAACCTATTTTTGTACTAGCAACCATTACTCATCGCAATAAGTGGTCGTTAGGCGTACATAGTACGTTTCCTAACCACCTCAGTTTATGAGTATTTCGTGAATAGCTAAATTTACTTTTCGGACCGACCGTTGCTACTGCCTTAACGTGGTGGTCGGGTTTGCCCATCGTGATTAACCAATCGGGCTATTCTGGCTGGAACAATCGTTCCTCAAGGTTCTAACATGTCGGGCAAATCGGTTGAATAAAAGTAAGACTAAAGGCAGCAAACCCAAGGTCTGAGGGCGAAGTCATACTGCTGGCTGTACAGAGGTGTGAAGGCAGTTAGGTGTTTCCCTCACAACCAACATAACAGTGATGCTGCCTTCCCACAAACGAAGGGTGGGTTAAGTAAACGTCGACCCTAAAAATGCACACCTCGCCTTATCCGACGATATGCGTCTCCATCGGTAAGGTCTCAACAAGTGCGGAGCTAATACAAAAATCACCCACAAAAAGGTCGTGTGTGATCGGCCTCTAGCGGTTGTTCCTTGAGCATTGCGGTCACACTCTCAGGTAACTAAAACCAACTCTAACGCAATTTCCTTTTTAGGTACCTCTAGAAGAACCCTTCCACGGTGTGGGCAACCGCGAAGTGATAACCGTCCTCATACCTCTAACAGCACTCAAGTCCAGATTTAGTTAAGATTTAAGTACTGATTGCATTGACCAATTATTTATTTACTAGCTTTAGTTACTTCAACACCCAGATTCCATCACAACAAAAAAGCCTAACTTGTTTTTGTACTTAAGAAATATATTCTAAATTGTTGGCTTTTATTATTTTCTGTTGTATAACTTTTATCCAGTTAGAAGTATTTTAATTTAAACAACTAATTATCGTATAGAATAATTAAATTGCACTGTTGATACTATATTTGTAGATTTGTTAAAATATATTAAAAATCGAATTCTTTGTTGATATGTTCAAAAAAGTACATTCACTTTGTATACTCCAATTAAAACATATAGCTGACATAAACTGGAGAACTATTGGTGTTGTAAGATCATTGGACATTTGGTTAGACTATAGACTCATACTCCGTTGTCTTTATTGATTATCCAGCTGATAGCACCTCATTATGAAAATTACTGTCATCGTGGTTTGTGTAATGACTAACCAATCATATGCTTCTGTCACGTATTCATTATCTAAAAAAACAACTGAAGTATTATATTCGTGGAGCAATGTGAGTTTTTTTTACGACAGATGTTATATTATAAACTTAGTAACTTGTTTTCAGTTACAATTTCTTATTTACCATGAGATTATAATTAACGCTTGAAAACACCGGTTTATTAAACTATGTATTGATTCACTAGCACCGAGTATTTGAATACAATGTTATCATGTACATGACCTCAAGGTGTTGTTAACCTTCATAATCATTCAGTAGATTTGCATATATATATATATATATATATATATATATATATATATATATATCACATATAGACTGTCCTTCATTTTTGTTTGTATTTTCTTGCTTCTCTTACTAATATATATATATATATGTATATATATATAATAAATAGTCACAGGAAGGATGCTCTTTGAAGTTCTCATAAGTCACAAATTCATCTATCATAAATCTTATTAAATGATTTCGTCAAAATGACATTAAATAGCAACCATTTCATTGAAATCACGAACTGATCAATGTTACACCACCATTGAAAACCTTACAGCACGGGAAGTCCGTTTCGTCCTAGTACTGGACTTCTCGTCAGTGAGCATCCACGGTCTCGCATGTTGGATTCAAATCCGACACTCTCGGTCTCGCGCGTGAACGATCAACCTCTTGACCACTGAGCCGGTATCTAACGATGTCAATGTCTAACTTCAATCAATCCATGATGTCGCGCGACCATTGAATTTCTTGAGAAATTTTGAAGACGTTATGTTAATTTTGATTGGCTTGTCTCTGTTGTGAGAGTTCACCTCAAATGCTGTATTAAGTTATACCAGAAGAATGGAACTGCTATCTATTTGACTATTTGAATGTGTTAAGCTTTCTTGTTGTAAAACGTTCAGTGTAATCATTCAGTTAGTCAATAGTTTATTAAATTTCCCAACAGTTTTACCACACACTTTATCAGCTTAAAATCAACTAAACATCTGACTGCTTGATAAGTATTTTATTGTACTTCAATAATCTTCATTTGTAGAATTCTTTGATTTCGTACAAGATCATAAACAAGGACTTATTCGGAAATTGGTAAGGAATAAAATTATTTATATTCTAGCTAAATTCGATCGCATTTGAAGTCTATCAACAATCTAGTAATAACTTATGTCTACGAAGTCCATTGAATGATGGCTCATCTAATGTCAGAAATTGCCCGATGTCGATAAAAGTGCATTATTCTCTAGACTGTAAGATAAATGTCTAGGACAGTAGTTTTAATTTCATACGAAATAGACACCTCAAACAGTTTCAGAGTTTACTAATAGCACGACGCTTTGCCCACGTGCGACTTGATTTTCAAGTTATTTTCTTTGTATAAATTAAAACCATCAGTTAGTTACTCAATTTCTGGCGAGAATATCAAAGTTGCTCTTAACTATCGATTTAGTATATTACCAATTACAGTTATAATTTTTTCTGGTGATAAGTCATTGACTACCAGTTATAAAGATCAATCTATTTAAACCAGATGATTCTAGAATAAGATACAAGTTAATTAATTTTGAAGTGAAAACAAAACATCATGTACCTATGTTATGCTCATATGATGAATTCAATTAAGTACATGAGTGAAACATTCCTCCATACAATGTGTTTATTCTTTTTAAAATTGTCACATGAATAAAGTCAACAGAAGTAAGCATACAAGCTAAAACGCATAATCTAACTCTCACTATAGTGGATAATTTTAATTCCTTTACGTTTCTTTGCATATAATAAATATTATTTTTGTTTTCTGGTCCAAAATGTGAACAACTCAAGTTCACAATATTTTTAATAATTTTCTAACCCAAACCTAAATAATCGAGAATGTAAGATTGAGTCGGAAAGCTTGTTTCATCACTGACCGATATTCAAAACACATTGGTATTCACAGTTAAGTATCAACAAGGCGCTCCACATAAGTGTTTAGTGGTTAAGGAGTTCGAATTTCGACCACTAAGTTACGGATTTGTACTCCGCTCCACCTACCTTGATTTAGGCGGCCAGGTGGTATCGTTTGCCTTCAGACAAATTGTGGCTGTAACCGAGGTACCTAATTAGTGAGTTAATTCATTTTATTATTGTTTAGATAAAATTTGCGAATTATCCTCTAGTAAAGCTAGTCTCAAGGGACCTGAATTAACTTTACCCAATTCTGAAAATCGTTTTAGATTATTCTGCCCGAGCATTTTAGAAATCATAGCATTTCCTCAAAATGTGAATTGTTCAAAAAGTACTTTGGTTCACTTTGGTTTCACTATCAAAATATAGTTTATAATCCTTCGAAAATTGTATATAAGATACTGAACTTATAGATAATATAGTTAAAATTTACAACCTATACATCATAATTTTCGTAACTGATTTAGTACACATTTTTCCCTCAACTAAACTAGTGCCATTAAACTGAGACTCCTCATTTGTGGAAAGGGTTAATAAATTGACCAATTTGCTACAAGATTTTTCCCTAATACAGTAAATTAACCCAAAATACTTAACCCTTTTAGTTGTTCGTCCATAGTAGTGCAAAGTTGATATTACTTGTTTAGTCTAATAATTATAATAGATATTACACATTAAGAGTTGATAACAATAACCATAGGTCTTTAAAAATTGCTTATCAATTAGAGATTTAACTCAAAACAAACAAACAAATAATTCTTCATTTCCTTTGACTGATAGCTGAATAATTTTGAAGTGTGTAAATTTCAATCTATACAAATGTTGACAAGTATTGAACGTGAATGTCATATATTATCTGAATATGTAAATCTATTTGTTAAATGTACAGATTTCATCTACTTACAGAATTAGTACGTGAATGTTTACAATTAATTGTGATTTGTGATTTTTTCATTATTATTATTATTATTACTATTTTGAACTGATTTGCACATATTTTCATTTATTTTTATGGTGCAAGTATTGATTATTGTACATTATTTTTAGTTGAAATTAAAATACGTTTCTAAATTGATTTGTTATTTAGATTTTATTTTATGCATAAGAATCGATTTTTCTACCTTTTAGTCGCTTAAATTGTAAGTAACTCATAAATGACACTGGATGAATTGTACTGTATCAAAAAATAGATTGAATTTGAACATGAATAATCATGTTTCTACTCTGTTATTCATAGATATCATGCTAAGCCAAAAGTTGGGATGTCCTATGCTCTATTCCTTGTGAAGTCATAGATTTGGAATTCTGAGTAGTCATGAACTAAGACACTACAATTTTCTAGTAGTTTATGACTTTCAACGGCTTTACAACTGATGAGACGTTTTGGTGAAAATTACATTTTTGGTGCTAGTGGGTATACTTCATATCAGTCAGTTGATCACCAAACTAAACGTTTATCATAAAATACTCGGAGTTACTGAAAATTATTTCCGTGAAAACTTTGGTTCAAAGGTAACAAGGGGTATTGGGAACTCTTGTGGCATGATATCCACCATCTCTTTTGGTAAAAATTTTTCATAGTATTTTTCAGAAACATATGTGTTCTGATGAAATTCCCTTAAAGATATAATATATTTGATTGTTTCTCTCATCACAACTTTAAACTTTCGAATTCAAGTCACCATGTGTACTCTTGACTAAATACATCTTGATTGCAGTCACTACGAAAGTAGATAAAGACTATAAATAAACGTATTTTTAAAACACTTATTTTTCAGTAGGAAGCTGCCTACTTATTGAGTTTTGTTTCCTAAGCATCAATATTCTACCTCTATGTTGCAATGGAACCGACGTTTGTCAACAGTTAAGCTATAACTCTTACTCATCTTAACATGGTGTGAATTTGATACGGGTTTAAAATTAATGAATTGAAAAAAGTTTTGTATTTCATCTTATCGGAGACTGGATCACGAAATATCCGAAATATGTCTATGCCTTAGCTTACTAGAGTATTTAGTATAAACTTTTGCATTTATCACTAGACTTCTGATGATGGATTCTGAGTTGAACTGAGTTACTATCCTTAGTATGTCTATGAGAAGATAGATCATGAGTAACATTTGGGAAGATCGTTGAAGTTCTTCACTCATTGTTGTCCGTATACTCTCAAAAGACTGCATAATTTCAAATTAAGGGGTTTCAGTAAAAGAATATGGTTGTTCTTAATCCTCTTCAAAATTGCTCACTATAATAAGAGATCTTCCAGGCTAATGATAATAATCCGTGTTGAGTGCTACTGAAACTCAATTTACAATTTGGAGATTTTGGGAAAGGTCCTCCAGCTTTTGATCAAGTTCATGATTTATATCACCAGTGACAATAATTATTAGTGAATATGCGCCATTTTCCTATCCTGATTTTTTCATAAACGTGCAGTTGGACACCGCATAGACAATTACCACGTAGGATTCAGTACAATATACTTTTTGTCCTTGAGGTGATTACTCTTCCAAACTCGTGTAATTATGATAACTGACCGTAATTTAGCTGAGGACTAACTTTGAATAACTTCACTATATTTAAAAAATGATCAAAATGAACAACAATACTTAAGTCAAGCGCACATATCTGATGAGCGAAACGTATATTCATATCTGAATTTACTTCCATTGGTCATGTGAAATATACGATGTATTTGGAGCAACATAAAAAATATGACCTATATCTAGTTTGTATTTGCAAGATTAACTACACTATATATTTGACTATTTGACGCAGTTGTGATTAGCGGATATATATTTCGTTATTTATACGTTAGATAGAATGGTACATCATTTCACTCGTTACTAATGAGTTACATGCTCATAAGTATTTCGTTAGTTTCCAGTATCGATTAGATAACTAAAA